TTGATAAAGTCCATCAGAGGATGAAATGTGTCAGTTAAATAATTTTTCCTTTTGTCTTTATTCATATTGTCCTTTTACAGATATAGTTTAGTTATATCTGAAATTTTACACACACACACACACATATATATATCGCAGGTTAAACTTGCTTAATGTAAGAGCCACATACAATAATGTTCAAATGACATGAAATTACGAGTTAAATTTTTAAATATTTTTACTAACCATGAACATTAAACTTAAATTTTAATCCAATTGTGTCTCAATTCTTACCGAGTAAATAATTATAAAGCTTGAAATTTTTCTTATTTACCTTTTATATTGACTGTGATAACAAAAGGAGCTCTGCTAACATATTTTCGCAAGCTGCATATTAAAGGTCAAAAAGCCGCATGTGGCTTGCAAGCAAGGTTCGGTTTCATGGGCCTAAACATGGCTTCTCATACACACATCACTGTTGTCACTAACTGTACTCATATCCACAGTTTAGTCCAGTAAATGTTTATGAACGTCAATGTGTGCAATTTTTTCTACATGGAGTAATTCAATGACATACCTCTGCTTTATACACACTTTCATTTAGGATGCTATTTTGCCAGACTGAAACACAGCTATTATAAAAAAGGCTCAAAAAGTTATGGTCATTGATGTAATGGTTCACTCTATACCATCAGAACTTGAAATTAACATTGTCCCAGATATCACAGTATATTAGTTTGAGATGACTGATTAGGTTTTCAGGATAATACCAAATCAATACAAAATTTTAAATTAAAATTCTATTATATTTATTCTAAAAGCAACTCATTTTTTAAAATAAAAAAAAAACATTAGGATTTAATTCTTAAAAATTAACTTTGTTTTAATAAGCAAAATAAGAAAATTTATATTTTTTTCTGTTAATTTTTGGTTTAAAAACTTGAACCATTTACAAACAACATTTGTGTGTTATGTTACTGCTTATCATACACTAAATTGAAAATACAAGGGACAATTTATAAAATGATAACCAAAAAAGGAAAATTTACTCATGACATGAAGCAGGTAATTGTGGTGGCATTCAAAGATATTCTATTTTGGTCATTGAAAAGAAAGAGGTTGAAGAATCCTTTATGCTGCATCACAAAAACCACAGATACACAGCACAAGACAATTTGTAAATTGTTGGGGATTGCAAAAATCACCAATATGGATGACAGACATGGGAATTGATAGCTGTGGTCCTGTATAATTTCATAGTACTACAGCAAACACCTTTGCTAGTTGAGATAGACACAGTAAAAAAAAATAGCAATAGTTATGGACAAGTAGTGACAGGCAGTTTCATCATAGTTATGCTTCTGCCTATTTGAAGAGCATAAAACTTTACAAACCACTTTTGACATATTTGATCATTCACGGTACCTTCTCCATAGAATGAATAAGCAAAAAATATGCTTTTTTTTTTTTTTCAATATTAAAAAGAAATTCTTCTTGAAATGGCAGCTGTCCCAATATAATCAAAGACAATCTATTTGATAAAAAAATTAAAGGTAAATACTCCCATTGTCAGAATCCTTTGGTTACCCAGTATCTTAAAACATTCAAATCTGTTTTTGGTCTGTGTTATTGGCAGGCTTACTCATGCCTCAGACTGTATCAGCTTTCATCTCACACTCATAATCAGTGTTTAGTTTAAGTAAAAGATTTTAAGACAAGTTTAGCATTACACAATTTTTTTTTATATTCCTCACCACTAGTCAGTAATATTTTGTATTTGTTTTGCAATCACAATTGTTATAGAACCAAATACTGTATTTCCTTGAATAAGCATCCACTTCCAAACGTGTATTACAGAAGTGGGAAAATTAATGCTATACAGTTCCATTTTGGTCTGATTATTTAAAGAATAAAATAAACTGCTATTAATAATAATAAACATTATAGCACATTGGAAATCAGGAAAATACTTAAAATATTGTTACTAAACGCTTATTGTGTGTGTTTGTCAGAAGCTTAGCAATGGTAGGGAATTTGACTGCAGTCAGCATGAACCAGAATGAAACTAATCAAAGGGTTATAGCTGTCTATTTCTATTAAGAATCCATTCGTTTCCATCACTGATGGGTCACTGACCCCTAATCAGAAAGAATAAAGCACTGAAAATCATTATCCCCAGCTTGTTTATGTCAGTTTCTTTGGTGTGTGGCTTCCTTATGCAATTTACAATTTAAATGTAACAAATTATGATGAACCTTGAACAATGGATGCTTTACAACATTATGGAAGGAAACAGATTTGGGATCAAGTGAAATCAATCACCACTAATGTCAACAAAGCCTGTCTTCATTCAAAGAATGTAATACAATGTGCTATGAGAAAGTTTCAGAATCCTGCTGTGATTATTCTCTTCAATGAAAGTATACATGCAGCCCACACATACCTAACTTACTGAGTCAGTCTGCCAATAGGATTCCTGTTAGTTACTTGTGCTTAGTTATTACTCAAAGTTTAGTTGGAATGACTCTGCAATGTTTATGACAGTGGACAAATTTGAGCAACATTTTTACATCAAATTCCTAACCATTTACAGTCTGTTTCTTCTTGATTTATACAAATCACAGATTAAGTGCGAAGACTTGCTAAAATACATTTTATATCAAATATTGAAAAAATTGTTTTAATCATTAAAATCTACATCTGTCTAGTAATGTCAGGTGGTTTGACATCAATGCAAATGTTTTTATGGAGTTTTTCCAAAAGTCTCCATTTGTGTATCACATAACCAAATTCTGTCTTAATTTCTTTGGATGAAGAGTTATTATTAGTTATTCTATTGTTCTCATCTTCGTTGTTGCTATCACATCATTTTATCTGTTGTGTCCTCTTGTCTTCATCAGATATATATCAATCCAGGTAACCTACAGGGAATTTCAAATTGAGAACTTTATTTAATCTACAGGGATAGATTATTCTCATTCTGATTCCATGTTTAGAGATATCTCATCTAGTTTTTATTTACTTCTGCAACTATCCACAATAGCCTAGTGGATTAAATTGTTGGTTTGTGAATTTAGTGACATAGTAAATGTGAGTTTAATCAGTGGGTTGGGCAGTATGTACTTGGAATCATTGGAAATGTAGCAAAGAACAACTGAGCAGATATGGAACAATGAAACAAAACAATCTACCCTGTAGATTAATAATGGGTTCAGTTTGTAATAAGCCTGATGAAGGCCAGAGAGCACAAAGGCCAAAATATTTTGATAACATCAACAAAGCTAAGGACAAATGTAAATAATAACTTTGATTCTGCCTGTTTCTGTCCTTATCTGGAATATAGCCAGACTACATGAGCCCATGATGAGAATTATCTACTTTCTGGCTGAGTATCATTTCATCCCAAGTTTTTATTTATTCACTAGCAGCATGGCCAGGCGTTGCCTGTGCTTGATTCAAAAATCATATGACTCGTACAGCAATTGCTACCTTAAAATATTTTTGCCCTTCCTTGCCTTTAAAGGAGTGCCCTTTGCCGTGCTGATGTTGCTACATGCCTTACTTCTTGCCTATCTCACACTGCAAATTTTTTCTAAGCTCTATACTAAACATTAAATCTGTTATGAAAAAAGAACTAAACAAAATGAATATAAAATGATCAGCTTTAAAAAAGGACTTGTAACTGGAAAAACTGAATGAAAAAAGAATGTTAACAACAAATACTTTTTCACACCCAACCCAGCTCTGCGGAATCAGAATCAATGTTGAGTTTAAGCAAGCGAATGAGCCAATTAGAGTAAAGTGCCATGCAGATTTAAATTTTTCCCACTTGTGACGAATGCAGCTATCGATTTTTTTTTGCATGCTAGCATGCTAGTTAACATTCATGTCAATCAGCTGTTGGCTCTCACGCTGGCCAATAGAATCTTCCTGCTTATTTGTGGCAGCCAGCTATTGGCTCTCACTCTGGCCAGTACAAAATGGCCGCAAACTACATGAAAACTGCTGTAGAAGCATGAAAAAATCGATTATTTCCACTATCGATGGGAGTTGGGAAATGCAAAGTTGGAGCATGTGCATGTAAATTTTGGTGCAAATCCGTCGAAAATTGCAGCTGTGTATTTGTTACATGCACACACACACACACACACACACACACACACACACACATCCTGCCTTTTATAGATAGAAATTTACACATTTTTTTTCCTTGGACAGTGGGCAGTTGCTTTGAAACTCTCACATCTTGATTTTAATGGTTGGTGGTCAAAAACTAGTAGTCATAATCCCCAGTTGTTCCAGGTTTAGAGAAAATCATTTATAGTTCATTTGACTGATGTCCTAACCAACTGAGTGGGAATCCATTGTGTTACACAGTCTTTAATTTACACACCCTTTCACTAACAATTGAACTATAAAATGGTCAGTGAATAATCCATACAAAGGCAGATAATAAAAAACAAGTGTACATTGTTAGATTGCTTCTTTTTTTTTTTTTTTTTTTTTTTTAATCAGAATCACCCCAAGAAAAGCAGTAATGCCACTAAAACAAAAGGGGTTATAGGTTGTGGAAGAATTAGGAACAGAAACATTAGTGATGAGCAGAAAGAGAAGAGAGTAATCAGGTGGACAGTAGATAGTGATTGAGATTGCATTTAAATTTTTACAGATTAAGTTGTCTGGAAAGCATGGTGCTGGAAGGGTGTTCTATAAGCAAGAAGCGCGAGAGAAGAAACTGTTAGAATATACGGCTATATCTAGCCAGCTTAACTGTAAATTGCTTTAAAGATATTAACCAAAATAATCTTTGATTGGACTTAATACTAATTATGAAAAGACTCCAGAGGAAATTTTATGATGAAAATGTTTCCTTGATTCTCTAAGATATTCAAGAACTATACATTTCATATGTTTATATAAACATACATGCTATTTTCTTTATACAAAGAGGTAACAATAAACTCTTTTCTTTAAAAATATTTTACATTTTATTAAAAATCAAAATCTTTTATTTTATGCAGCTTGAAGAGCTTGGCCATGTCATCTGTAATATTTGCAATATTGTTCCTGGTGGGATCGTGTGTTTCTTCCCATCCTATGATTATGAAGCCAAAGTATTTGATTTCTGGTCCAAATCTGGAGTCATCAGAAGAATATCTTCAAAGAAAAAGGTGAGATCATTCTTTTGTTTATATGAATTCTTATTTTGGATAAGCTTCCAGTCAGAATACGCTGGGTAAAGCTCTGCAGTAGGGGTAAGCCCTATCCTCTCGCCACCAAAATAGTAGGCATCAGGAGTGTGGTACCCAACCTTTTAATTGCTGTTGATTCTAGGTTCACCCTGTCCTATGATATATATGATAGAATCTTCTGTCAATTTTGATGTATAAGGGCTCAACAGTTCAGTTTTAGAACTGAACCACTACAGCACGTCCACAGACACACAGGTGATTTGATTATAGTGTAGAACCAGCCAAACTTTTTCAAAGAACTGATAACCAAAAAATTGTGCATAGTGTGCCATGAAACTCCAAACAGTCTTCCTCAGGTTTGAATTCAGTCTTTTTTCTAGACTAACTGCCAACCAAGGCAAGATAGCCCTGTCTGTCCTGCTATTTAACCCATGGCTAAAGGAGGATGGATTCATGCTTTCTACCCACAAGACAGAATTCCCTGGAATTTGAACTTAGCTTGGCAATTTCAGCTTAGCTTGGCATTTTCTGTGCAAATAACCATTACCCAATGTCTATATTCCATATATATATATATATATATATATATAAAGGTGACTGACAAGGCACTGCAATTAAGCTTTTTATTTAATTTTTTTGTGTTCATCCAAGTGTTTTCTTTTCTGGACACAAAGTCTGTAAAAACTATCCAAATGTATTGCATTTCCACACACTTTTGGCTATACTTTTAGCCATTATCAAGGAATGATTTAATTTTTACTTTTTAACTGAATATATGGGTTGTGTGTGTGTGTGTGTGTGTGTGTGTGTGTATGTATATATATATATATATAGAGAGAGAGAGTTATAGGAATGTTTTATTTTCTAAACACAGTCAGCACATTGTGGCCATGTTCGTAGTTAATGTTTTTGAGTCTTGGCTTTTTCTATTTTATTATTAGGGCATTATTTTAAATCTTTTTTTTACATGTGGATGAGGTTATTATGCTTGTATTTTCTACTAGTATGTTTCAGGTGGAGTCTTTTAGGTTTGTGTGTGTATTTAAATGTATTCTGATGTGCTACCTAAACACACACACACACACACACACACATAGTTAATTTTATTGCATTCAATTCCCAGAGAAATGAGCAAAACTAGACTATACCATGTAACTACAATTATTCAGGTAAAGAGAGGAACAATACATTATTAGATATCAATCTGTAATATTTTTCTCACTTCACTTTATATATAGACATATATCTATAGAAGTAATGCCTTTTTTTATTTATTAATATAAATATGTGCTCTTTCACATATTCAGGCTAGTAGACAAAAATAAATAAATGTACTATTTAATAAATAAACAGAGTGTCTATTCAAATATGAATGTCCAATAAAAATAATGTTTAAAGTGATAAAAACATATCGAAGTATCTTAGGTGTTTTTAGGTATGAGATGTTTAAATGGGTCAGTCTAAAAATTCTAGGAACAGATAAACAAGAACGCATCTTATTGGGGACACCATCGGTAAACCTAATTTTTTTTGAAAAAATTTTTATGGAAAGAGTAGAAACAGTGGCTAAATTACTAACCATTGTTTTTACTCTGATTTCCAAGCGTTGGGAGTTCAATCTGTGGCTTAGGTAGTGTGAAAAAAGTCATATCCTCTGGTTCAGTGGAAGAAACTGACAAGTGACACAAAGATGAATAGATGGGAGAAAATTAATATAAGATATCTACTAAGGATGGAAGGGGGAATGAAAATAATCTACCTTTGTGGTGTTTACTTCAAAATTCTGAGGTTATTAGTACAGTTTACAACCAACAGGAGCTTACTAGTCCATGTAAAAAGGCATATAATAATCATCTCAATAATTTCAATGTGATTTTTTTTTAATCATTTCATGCCAAGTAAGGTGATAATGGAAGTGAAAGAGAATAAAAAGACTTTAGTGAGGAGAAGTGAGGAGAAAGGACAATAAAAGAACAGGTTTCAGGAAGGCCAAAGATGGTGATTGACGATGCATTTAAATTTTTGCTGATTGTAGGTGGCAGGAAAGAAAGAAGTTGGAAGGGAGTTCCACAGTCAAGAAATATTATAGTACAATAAGCTAGTTCAACAGTGGGACCTAGTTGCCAATCTAGTAACACATTTAAATTCATATAAAGACACCAAGGATGAAAGCTCATCAGAACAATTGCCATGAAAATATCTGTAGAAAAGACAGCGCAGTCATGTCACGTCGGTTAGAAAGTGTCTGTAGTTGAGATGCCAGGTCAGGATCGATTACATTTATTGAATTTTGTCAAGAATTTCGAGATATATGGTAGGAACACCAGACTAGGTATATATATATATATATATATATATATATATATATATATTTTTTTTTTTTTTTTTTTTTTTTTTTTTTTAAGCGTTTCACCCCAAGCAAGGTGGGAAGCCACTAGGGACGCAAGGGGTTACAGAAGATTTGGAGCAAGATCAGATAGGAATGATAGAGGAAAGGATGAGGAGAAGGATAGTGGATAGATCAAGGCAACTGGAGATGTCGATTGACATTACATTTGAATAGTTGGAGATCATAGCTCTCAGGGAAACTGAAATAGGGAAGGGAGTTCCACAGGCGAGAGGTGCGAGATATGAAGCTATTGGAGTAGAAGAGATGGCTACATTTAATAGTTTTGACAGTGAAAGGGTGAGAGCGGGATGCCAGCCTCGTAGGGCACTTGAATTCATGAAGTCTGGGAACCAGCGAATGCAGCTCCTCGGAGCATTTACCATGAAAGTATTTGTAAAAAAGACAGAGAGAGGTGATGGTGCGTCTGTGAGAGAGCGACTGTAGACAAGATGCCAGAACAGGGCCAATTATATTGCATATTCGCCTCTGGATCTTATCAAGAACCCCGAGGCAAACAGAAGGGGCTCCAGAACATATATGGTAGCAATACTCCATGCAAGGTATGACAGCAATATTTCATGCATGGATGTATGGTAGTTTTATAAATGTGCAAGATGAATTCTGATGAAAAAATTGTCCGGCACAACATAGTGAACCAAATTTCCTAGCCATAGATCTAGCAGTTGATTCTATTTAATCACTCCACTTTATGTCAGCTAAAAAAAATGAGCCCAAGAAGGCAACAAAAGTTACTCTCCAGAAGGCAGAAAAATGTTTTCTATCGTGACTAAATGAAAGCAGTTTTGTTTTGGGGGCATTAAATTTCTAAGCCATTCCTTGCCCCAGTTAACCACTGATTAGAGGCCCCTTTTGAGAGCTGTTGCCAGTTTTATTTCATTGAACCTGTGAATAAAAAAAAAGAAGAATAGTCATAAAGAGCATATTGATCTAGAGTGTTGTGACAAAATGCTAAAATAAGATGGAGTCAAGCTTATAAAATAATAAGAGTGAAACTCATCATCTTTCCCATGACTCCATGTGATTATAGGGTGGTTGTGCAGCTGAATACCTGACCAGTTCTGCCACATACCTGGGTTGAAATCTGAAGAGATATTCATTTATGCATAGCATGTTTTGGGCAAGTAGACCTGGTGTAGTCTATCCCTTTCCAGGTCATACCAAAACTGATCCTCCAACTTGGTCACAGACACATGGCTCTTGATTCCATTAGGGGAACCCTTTGCCCTGGCTGTTGACTAGTCTTGTATGTCCTCCACCTAGCAATGCCATGTCTGTATAGTGAAATAGTCAAAATGCTTTATGTAAATATTTAAAAAAACACCTAATAATTTATGTTTCATCATCAGTATAAAAAGTAATTTTGATTATAAGTTACAGAATTCAAAGAAAGACTATCTCTATCTATAAAAGGCAGTATGTGTGTGTGTGTGTGTGTAACGAATGCACGGCCGGAATTTTCGACGGATTTGCACGAAAATTTACATGCACATACTCCAAGTTAGTGGGAAGGCCAAGACTGACTTTGCATTTCCCAACTCCCATCGATAGTGGAAATAATCGATTTTTTCATACTTCTATGGCAGTTTTCATGTAGTTTGTGGCCATTTTCTACTAGCCAGAGTGAGAGCCAACAGCTGATTGACATGAATGTTAACTAGCATGCTAGCATGCAAAAAAAATCGATAGCTGCATTTGTCACAAGTGGGAAAAATTTAAATCTGCATGGTACTTTACTCCAATTGGCTCATTTGCTTGCTTAAACTCAACGTTGATTCTGATTCTGCAGAACTGGGTTCGGTGTGAAAAAGTATTTGTTGTTAACATTCTTTTTTCATTCGGTTTTTCCAGTTACAAGTCCTTTTTTAAAGCTGATCATTTTGTGTTCATTTTGTTTAGTTCTTTTTTCGTAACAGATTTAATGTTTAGTATAGAGCTTAGAAAAAATTTGCAGTGTGAGATAGGCAAGAAGTAAGGCATGTAGCAATATCAGCATGGCAAAGGGCACTCCTTTAAAGGCAAGGAAGGGCAAAAATATTTACGTCAAGTGATAGCAATTGCTGTATGAGTCGTATGATTTTTGAATCAAGCATGGGCAACGCCGGGCCATACTGCTAGTTATGCATAAAGATTTAATGAAAAAAACAAGAGTTAAAAACATGCGATGCTAATTAACCTTTAGTACACTGTAGGTGATTATTTTTGCTAAGCAAAATGTTAGTATATTTAGCTACCTCCCCACGAGGGTTGCATGTGGCACAAGGCCGGGTTTAATGTGGGTTCCCCAAGCCCATAGGCTTGGCTAAAAAATGCCTGTAGATCGGGTTGGTTAACCTCCCCGAACAAGATTCTGTTCTTCGGCTGAGCCTTGTCCAGGTTCCTCTCTGCCCAGAGGCAGAGAGTTCAACTGGCTAGCCAAAAATGTTAGTCCTGTCAATGCAAGTTGAATTTGAATTTCTTGGTTGTGTAGTTATATCCTTCTATGGCAACACCTAAAACAATCTTGATTGAAATTGAGAGTGAGGCTACTGCAATTTCAAATATATAGAACTCATATATGAAACACTATATTTTGAAGGGATATTTTGGAAGATTTATTTAAAGGTGATATTGAGTGCTAAATGTTAAAAGTTTGAGGTATTTAAACAGTACATCTAAAACGAATCTGTTTTTACCCTTTGTGTGCAGTTCTCTATTGTTTAATTTTACTTTCTTGTATGAAGTAGCAGTTTGAAGGAGACAGTCAACACTTAGTGTTAGGGTAAGTCATTTTGTTTCTTTGGTTAAATTTCACAAACTTTGAAGTAATTTCTCATATTTAAAACATTCAGAAACTGCAAAAGAAAAATATTTTTTTATTTTCTAATTTTTCTATATAGTGAATTTTTTTTTCTTTAAAACTTCTTAATATTAGATGTATTGATAGATTCACATTTGAATGAGAATTGTTCTTTCTGAATTTAGATCAGGTTGCATATCATATTATGGGAATTAACTCTAGAATTTCCTGCATTGGATAAAGGTGTTATCTCCCTTAAAGACTTTGTAAGTATCGTATTTCTTGCAATATAAAATGCTCCTTTCATTTGTCTAGCAGGGTTTAGTTGGTTGATTTTACATGTAAATCCTTGTTTGGTTATTAAATTTGGAAATAAGTTTCTTTTTAAATATATTTGAGTCTATAATTTACTTGGTTTGGGGATAGGCAAATATTTGAGTCTGTATTTATTTGATAGGTTACCCCTTTTAGGAAGAGATCTTACTCCTCTGCAGGGACACATTTGGAGTATTCTAAATGGGTTTGATTTGGCAAGGAATATTTATTAAAAATATCTGGTAATATTCAAATGATGATTCAAGCATACTTATATAAGTGAGAAAATGAAATAAAATCAATAAATAAAATAATAATAAAGAATAAAAAAAAATATTCTCCCATGAGTCAAGTTATAAAGAAACTGGAAAGGTTTTCTGCTCACATGTGTGATTTTATGACTCCACTCCCAGAAAGAATAGAATCTTTCTCTTTTCATTTTCCAACAAGATCGTTCAGACATGTTTTCAGCAGGCCCTACTCATGAAGTAAAGATCTGGCTATCCCAACTCAGCACGAGCCCAACTTGAGCCCAACCATCTTTACCCATTCTTATCCTTACTTCCTATAATGTTGTAACTGAGTTATCAAAAAAAAAACAAAAAAACAGTAGAAAACCGGAATTGGTTTAACAACAAGTTTATTACCTTTTGGTACAGGAGAACATACAATAGAATAAAAAACTAGGGAAGAGAATGTTTAGCCATGAATGACTATTTTTAGCAAAGGCTACTGCTGCTCCTCTTGATGTAGGAGTATTTTTATGTCTTTCATCCAATGGCTGAGTCCAAACTTGTAGGGAAATATTTCCCCTCATAACACATAAATTATTTCCAAACCAAAAACTAAACTGGGCATACTCAAAAGACATTTAATTTTGTTTCAATACAATCATCATAAAAAGGAATAAATGTATGTAGCAGAAGTTCAAGTTGTTTTTGTCTGCTTCTTGTAGGGATATTATTATTGTTACAAATAAATAAAATAATAATAATGAAAATTATAAATAAAATAAAGCAATAATATTTAAACCTTGTTTAAAATAAATTAAATAAAAATAATAAAATTACTCCCAGCATGCAACAAAAACTGTTCCTGCCAGAAATATGGACATCCTGGCAAAAGATGTGAGATACAATCTATGCCCAATGACTCAGCCATTGGATGAAAGACATAAAAATAGTCCTACATCAAGAGACTGTCACGATGACATGTGTGTAACTTCCTTCCATGATAGGACTTGTGGTATTACAGAGTAAGTTACTCCCTTTTATAATATGAACATTATCACAATTGTAAGGCAAAAAAATACACACACAAATACATAAATAAAATAGTATGGAATTACTAGACAATTTGTCCTGCCTTCTCTGTATTGTGTACATTTATTTTTCTTGTTTTTATCTTTGTAAAAATAAGCCTGAAATTCTATTATTGCTACTATTATGGTATGAATGAATACCCCACATTCTTCTATCTGCTTTGTTTATATACTGAACACGCATCTTCACCTAAAGGAATACACACAAAACCCACAACCTTGTTAACATCCACATATATAGGTATGTTTCATTAAAAAGCACTGAATGATTCATATTGATTTACAAATTTTTTTAATTTACTTTTTCAATATTTCTCATCACTTTTTGATTTCTGCTTAGTATTAGTAAAATGAAAACTTCCCTTATTTGAGTATTTCCATCTAACACCACTGGCCATTTTCAAAGACATTTGTTGTTATGTTGTCAGTTATTTTTTTCATAAAATAAAAATTCAGATATGAGAAGTTTTCATTTACCAATGCCATACTTATTATAAAACCCAGGTTGTGTGTGTGTGTGTGTCTGTACGTTTATATATTGGATCAGATTTCCTACATTTTTCAACCGATTCCAACAAAACTTCACAGGACTACGTAAAATTACCTTGTGGTGGTTCTGACAGTGCCAAAAATTAGAAAAACACAATTGTTTTTGCATGAAATCAATTTGAAAACACGATTAAGAGGCATTGCGAGAATGAAAGGGGGACAACTCATATCAAGTTATACTTATTATAAAACCCAGGTTGTTTGTGTGTGTCTGTGTTCGTTTATATATGGGATTGGATTTCCTATATTTTTCAACCAATTTCAACAAAACTTCACTTTTTTTTTTTGGCAGGTAGTGTTTCTTATTGTCTTGCACACTTTTTTCTTTATTTTTACATTCAGAATGCTTTAAAAATTCCATTTACAAGACAATTGTTTATAATAAAATTCTATTCAATCGGTAGACTCATAATGATTGAAAACAATGTTTTTGTTTGAGTTTGGGTTTGACCAATTCGTAAAAAAAAAACTAATTAAGACATGCGTGTCCGTCAACCTTAAACAATAATCTTTGTCAATTTTATTTCTTAGTCTTTATGATGGTCGATACTTGATCTATCTCTTACTGTTACATCCCCGGGCAACGTCGGGCTCTACTGCTAGTATGTATATATATATATATATATACACACACACACACACACACATACACAAATTATGGATATATTTGGGTATATATATATATATGGGAAAAACAATATATAAATTTTTATATATCTATTTAAGAGTACTCAGAATTAGTAGGCCTCAGTATTTCAATGAAGAGGAACAATGCATTGAAAATAATTTTAAGCTCCTCCAGTATCCTAATTATTTCATTTTCAATGTGAAACAAAAGGCTCATAGAATATTTAAAAGTAAAAAACTGCATCTTGCTGACAAACCCAACAAATCAAAATATATTGTTCTACCCTCCAGCTCTATCACAATCACAATTGAAAAGAAGTTTAACATAAAAATTGTTACAAGTACCTCTAAAGCAATAAAAGACTTAATTAATACAATACAAAGTAATAAGCTAAAACTTTAAGGTGGAATTTTATTTTATCACCTGTAATAATTGCCACAATGAATACATCGGAGAAACCTCAAGGAATTTAAATAAGTGTGCTGTTTTGTAAAAGACTCCTTTTGTATTCATATAATCTTTTATTTAAATTCCTACAATTTCTCTTTTCATGCTCATGTGTAGTTGCATCAGCGTAAACATCACTTTAGTTTTGTCTGAGAAAGTTCTAAAGGACAAAAACTTTTTCCACTTTGTCGTAGTTTTCTCTAAAATTACATATATATATTATGAGTCTCATGTATCTACATGCATGCATGTGTGTGTATTTATATGTTTATATGTATATGCTTATCTAAGTGTGTATGTGTATTTTGTGTGTATATATATTTATTTTTTTTGAATAGATTTAATTAATGACAGTATATGTATGTCTACAGCGATCTACATATATATGCATTGTATATTATTTTTGAACATTGTGTTTGTATATTTGTGGCTTTTATTTTATTATTTTATTTTATACTTTATTTTATTTTAATTTTGATTATATATATATATATATATATATATATATATATATATAATTATTATTATTATTTTATATTTTTTTAAATGGACTGCTCCACTGTTTTAATAGTAGGTTATTAATATTTAAATTTTATAATGATTAGTTTTCAATCAGTACCTAAAGATTGCTGTGTGCATGAAACTCAGAGTTGATCCACTTTATTTATTGATCCATTTTATTTGAAAAAGTAAAGTAATTTTAATATACACCCCCTCCAAAATATAATGGCTAAACACTAACTTTATGACTGACAGGTTTTTCGAGAGTCCCGAAAACCCGGAGAATCTGATGCTGTCCTTGCTAACTATTCTGATTGTGTGAAGGTAAGTATAAATGAATGTGATATTTACACACAATAAATCTTATACTGATTATATAATCGTCTGAAATATCAACAGTTATATCAGTCATATAACTTGGAGCATGATGTTTTTGTTAGTTTTTAAAGCAATTAGTAAAAAGGACTGTACCTAATATTAGAAATCTATAAGAAATAGTGTGCATGACTCTTTGATAATGACATTTTGGTTAAAATTAAAGTTATGATCACAAATCATATAGCCCATGAAAGTCATAAGGGCACCACATATACTGTAGCCATGGATGTGTCTTCAGTGCAAGAGATCCCAGTCAGCCCTATTATTTAACCCATAGCTGGTGGGGGAGAGAAGTGGGCTGTTATTAGTTTAGGTTTGAATATCGAAAATTTCTTTTGAAGATGTCTTTTCATTTCACAAGTCCAGTAACCCATTAGAGTCATAAGGGCACCACATGTACTGTAACCTTAAAAGTACTGGCTGTTATTCAAGGCAAAAGAACCCAGTTTGCCCTGTTATTTAACTCATTACTGGAGGAAGAGGTATTCATACCTATTCCAAGGGAATTAGTGAAAAGTAAACAACACTTTCTGTGCTGATAATCATTATGCTATACCATACAATTAGGATTATATTATTTTATTTGCTGAAAACTAAGACTATCATTTTTTGCTTTATTTTTCTTAAAGTTCTAAATAAAAAGTCACTGCTTTTTACAAAAAAATACTGTTAAAACATCTTACAAAAACACAGCAAATATTCAAATTATCTCCCTTAAATTATGACACGGATTGATTCAATATTGTAAATTTTTTGTTTTTGATGTTCAAGTGCTTCAGTTAAATTCTGATATCTTGTGTTTTTCTTGCAGTACAAAGATAACTCTTCTGCAACATTTTTTTTATATTTTATTATTTGTTTATATTTTCGTTTGCTGTGGGATTTATTCTTAAAGGTAACTCCCTAAACTACATTCAAACAAAGACATATAGTTCTGTCAGCCACTCCCCAAAATCCTAGTAGTTGTAGAAAGTGGATTTGAAGAGAAAGAAAAAATCATTTGAGACAGGATACAACCAGTAACTAAGACTGAACCCTTCTTTGTGTATTACACAGAAAATGATTTATAACAAGCAAATAGTTTACATCTCTTTTCAAGACAGTGAAATGTGTCCTGGTTAAGAAAGGTACATTTTGGAAGACATCCAAGTAATGTATTCCTACACTGGCAAACTAATGAAAAAAAGGCAGAGCCTTGTAACCATTGTCTGGAGAGAAAAAAAAAAAAAAAGAGGAAATAAGGGGCCCGTTACTCTTTTTTATGTCCTCCTCTGAACACTTCTCATTGGTTGTATGGTAGCCTAATATAATGTCTGTTTTTGGCCACAGAAATAAGTGTGACATACAGATTTTAATTTGTGCTAACTTCCACAGTACCTCCTCAGAATGCTAGTTGAGAAGAGGAACATATTGTACATCAGTACCTGACATATGTTCTATATTGTAAAGTTTAGTGGAAATTAAATTCTACATATTACTCTTATTTCTGTTAGACTTCACATGTTCCTTTCCACTATACATATATATATATATATATATATATATATATAAAAGAGGAAAAAGGGGCTTGCTACACACACACACATATATATATATATATATATATATATATATAATTCCATCAATAAAAACATTATTTAGTCTAAAGAAGTCCTGTTGAAGGTTGAAACATGTCACATGCAATCATTTTGTATTGTCATTCTTCTAACCTAAAGTAAGATATCCCATAGAACAGAAGATTTATAAAGGAAGATTTTTTTTTTAATGCATTCCACACCAAGCAAGGCGGGTGTGCCACTAGTACACAAGGGGCTACAGAGAGTGAAAGTAAGAGAAAAAAATGGGTATTGGAGGGGTGGGATTGAGGGGAGGATAAAAAGAAGAATGGGGATCAAGACATCAGAAGATGTTGATTGACATTACATTTAAATTTTTGAAGATAATAGTTATTAGGGAAGCAAGTAAGACGAAGGTATTTCCACTGTTGGGAAGTGTGAGAGAAGAAGCTGTTGGAGTAGAAGAGGCAGTTTCATTTCACTCTTATGATAGTAAAAGGATGGGGCTGAGATGTAGTTCTAGTAGCACACTTAAATTCATGCAGTCGGGGCACCAGAGAAAATAGCTCGTCAGAGCAGTTGCCATGAAAATATTTATAGAAAAGACAGAGGGATGCCACATCACGTCTGTGAGAAAGTGACTGGAATCAAGATGCCAAGTCAGGACCAATTATTGCATATCTGTCTTTGGATTTTGCCAAGGACCTTGAGATGAACAACATGAGTACCAGACCATACATGGCAACAGTATTCAATGCATGGATGTATGGTATATTTGTAGATGTAAAGGAAAACCTGGTACAACACAGAAAACCAACTTTCTTTGTGGTAGATGCAACTATTGATTCCCTGTAGTTGTCCCACCTCAGGTCAGTGGAAAATGTGAGACACTCTTGTGAAGTCATGCATCAACCATGCTGATAGGAGGCAGGGAGATTTTTCTATGGTGGTTAAATGAGAGCAGTTTTATTTTGGAGGCATTATGAGTCATTTACAGTCATAATTGTGAACCTGATTGTGATAAAACTAGTTGAAGTACTTGTGTTGAGTAAGAAGTCAAGACATTAATCAAAGCTTGTTGTAATGACAGCTGAATAATTCCTTTGTATGGCTGGTGAGTCAAATTATATGGAAATGCTGGATATATATAATTGTGAAAAGTACTTCCACATAACTTATTATTCCAAGGTAAAACAAATAAAATGTATTTATAAGAAATGTTTACTTTCTAATCTTTGTTGTCAATTAAAGATTTCTTATTGTCATTAGTCACAAGTGTCAAAGTTCATTTTTCATTGACACTGATCATCAGTATGGACATGTATTTCTGTTTAAATTGAGTAAATATATATCAATTAAAAGAAAAACAAAATAGATTCAATTTGTTTCTGCTAAGTTTCCAATGAAATAAATACATATTTGTCATGGGGAAGTGTTCTGTGAAATTGCTTTTTTTAAAGGAAACAAATATTTTTATTTCCAAGTATAAGAGATGAATTATAGTCTTACACAGAACAGTTACAAATGGAAATTGTTACTGTTAAAGATAAAATGTAGAGACTGTTCCTCATGTGAAACCAACATATTTTTTTACATTAAACGGGCACAACATTGCTTGCAGCTGCATCACATTGAAACACAGGTTCCTGTACAATCATCTAAGTTAAGCAATGTTCATCTTGGTCAACACCTAGATGGGTGACCACTTGAGAATACCATTTGCTTTAAACTTGGATGTGCAAGTGGTGTAATGGATAATGGCTTGGAATTGTTAATTGGAGAGCCATGTTCCAATTCCAGTTGGGTTCGTTATATTCACTTATGTGTAAATAACCTTGGGAAATATATGAATCCACCTTTTTTTCCCCCCAGTTATGGGTTAATTAGCAAGACTTGAGTTACTAAATCATTATTTTCTTAAAAAAAAAAAAAAAAAATTTTTACAGTCTAAAAATATTTCTGAATTAATAACTTGCAAACCATTGATAAACTGTAGAAAATGAATGAATCAATCATAAAACTTGATTGTATAGCATGAACAGGTGAACAAACTCTTCTTGGTTGTATACACAGTGGCATCAGAAAGTTCCCAGATTGTATATTCTGTGATTCATTGATTTTTTTTATGGTTTATCAACCTTTTGCAGGTTATTTAAAACCAGAAAATATTTTTAGATTGTAAGAATTTTTTTTGAGATAATAATGATTTTTACTGCTACAAGTTCTACTAATTCCACTTTCATGATAAATGGTCTGCTGAATTTTTCTCTATGGTACCTTGACTTTATGAATTTAAGCACAGTACTAGATTGGTGACATAGTCTCGTCATTTTACAGTTGAAATGGCCAAACATTACCACATGTTCAGTGCTAACAGTTTCTTCTCTAGCATATCTTACTTGTGGAACTCACTTCTGGCTTCTTGCTTTCCAATTAAATCTAATCTTCAAAAATTTAAATGTAATGTTTATCTTCAATCGTTATCTTCTCTCTTAATTTTTGTTCTTTTATTGTTTTCTTTCCTTAACAGGGCTGTAGAGTCGGAACATAAAACCTTTGACACCGACTCCTTTATTTTTGGCACCTCTGACTCCTCTTTATGTAATTAAGTGATTATGACCTACAAATCTCATAAAGCCTATGTATATTCTCCTAACTTGAGTAGGCCTATATCATTATAACTGATTTATATCAAAGAATGAAGATATAGTGGCTTTTATATCATACCTATTCACTCTTCAATAATTTCTAACAGAATTAGAGACAAAATCTTTGAAATATAGATGAAATAACAAAAATGCTATAATGTAAGACATTTTATAAAAGTATTAATTCAACTGAAGTTGGAATTGGTATAGTTTTACTCACTTTGATGACATCTTAATTGCTTCTGATTCTGACTCCGACTCCACAGCCATATTCCTTAATAGTGTTTTTTTCTCATGTTCTCTAGTACTCAATAACCTTTTGTGTCTTAGTAGCTTTAGTGCCACTAAGACACAAGGCTGATCAATCACCAGCAGAGTGTCAGAAAATGTGGGAAAAAGCTATGACTGAACAATCCATCAGCACTCTTACATGATTAGAATCACTTATGGTATCTATTTGGTGATTCTAGTCTGGGAACTTTCCAATAATACTTTATATATGCATATATAGTGACTGAGGGTTTGAGTGTACTGGCCTTGTTCAAAAAACTGCTAATCATGCCAGATTATGCTCTCTCTCCCAGAAAGTGTAACTAAGCTCCACTCAGCTTAATTGCAGTATAAACCACAGGTTAGCTGTGTATGTTTTGAACAAGCACAACTGTGCCAGAGCACAAATATCTGCAACAAATGAGTGTCTTCAGAAACAAGTGGCCTGGCATTCATATATATATATATATATATATATATATATATATATATATACTCACATATCATGTGACCTTTGAAGACATAATTTTGGAGCTAATTTGACTACAGTAAATGGATATTTAATTTGGTCAGCAGTATATACGTTAATTTTAACTGTGTATGATGCGATCATCTTAAAATTAACTTCAAAATTAGGTCTTCAAAAGATGCATGAGTGTGTGTGTGTATGTGTGTGTGTGTATATATATATATATATATATATATATATATATAATCAATTCACCCCAGGCAAGGTGATAATGTCACTAAGATACAAGAGGCTACTGGTATTGAAAGAGAATGAGAAAACTTTAGAAGTAACTGGAAACCCAATCTGAAACAGAAAATAAACCTCTACTCCTGTTCAAAAGAGTGGGGAGGAATGTGGAACAGACAATAGGCAAACCTATCTATTCCTATTAAAATATACATATATATATATATATATATATATATATATTACAGAGAGAGGGAGAGCAAGAGAGATTGAATCCAGAAAGGTATTTTATGGGAGAATTTAAGAAAGTAAGAATGAAAAAGAGAGATAGAGAGGGGGTTAATAAAAATTTAAAATTTGTTTCTCAGCTTAGATTGATGTTATATTAATATATAACAATATATTATTGTAATTGTTCATTCCACCCATCAGGAGGTTTCAGCAATTAAATTGTTTATTCCTAACAAAAGCCATCAACTAGTAAATTACAGGTGATTAATGACTAAGATGAATAGATATTTGTAAACAAATTTGTTCAATATTAAAAATAGAGCAATGGTAGTTAATATATAAGAGTTTAGATGACTTATCTACTGAGTTGAAGTTTTGCAGATAAAGGGTTTCATTCATCAAGGAAAGATATTTCTATTGAATTCATTAACAGATATCATGTTTATTATTGAATTATTTAAATTAAGTAATAAATAAATGTAATATCTGTTAATGAATTCAATAGATTTATTCTAACCCTGACAAGTGGAATGGTGTATCTGTGAAACTTCAAGTCATAAGATAAGTCATTTAAACTTGTATTTATCCATCTATCTATAAAGATAGGGAGTGATAGTGTGTGTGTGTGAAAGAGAAAGAGAATGTATAAAAAACCCTCAATTCTGAAATTGAGTCTATTTATAATGTTCTCATTCAAAAAATCAAAGTTTTATTCAATTGATATATGAAATGTGATATGTTAAAAATTTTTTTTAAATTTTGTTTTTTTTCTCAGAAATTGCGAGGTCCATCTACCTCAAATGGCCCAATGGGAGCCATTTTGTTCAGTGTTGTTGGTGGCAAAATGAGTGAAGGAATTAATTTTTCTGATGATCTAGGAAGGTGAGTTTTGAAAATAAAAACTTTTAATCCTTATCTGCTGTTTCTCTAACCATGATTTCATTTACACCTAGTCAACAGCCAAAATAAATCATTCATAATTTTTAATTAAAGAGCTGCAAAGTGTTTTTAAGTGAAAATTGAAAGTTCTTAACTTAAGGAATAAAAAAATTATATGCTGAGTTTGCCAAGATTTGTGGTTAAAATGAACCTTTGGCAATTCACATAACTTTTATTACACAGTATATTGTTATAATTGGTTTATTATTATTTATTTTTGTTAATCTCTTCCCATGCTTAATTTATAAATTAAACTTTATCAGGGATATGTGTATATGAAACAACTTAGGGTTGTTTCAGGCATCTGCTGGGATCTTGAAACATATTCTCTGTGAAGTAGGTAGGATAAAATATATATATATATATATATACATATATATTATAGCACTTTGTGTAATCAAATCTTTTACAGTAAAACTTTTATAGTTGATTACTTTTCTTTACATAACTTGCATATAGATTAAATTTTAATATGAAACATGGAACTTTGGTTGGTTTTTAGTAATAATTGATAAAAATTCTAATTTCATTTTCTCTAATTTTGATTGGGTAACTCAAGATAGTCTTAACAAATTATGTAACTACACAATGGAAATAATTAACCACAAGTTGGACACAACCATTTATTAAGTTATCTACTTGCTTTTGTTTATTGGAATTATGAAATAAACTTTTAAATTTTATTAGGCAACTCAATGTTTTCATAATTAAATTAGTATTAAATGGTGATGGGAAAAATTTGTAGGATATATTTATATAAGTAATATATTGTTTTAGTTTCAATATATAATATCTATCTTTGTTAAAAATGTTGATAATAACTTGTTTTGAGGTTGTCAGGTTTTATTATGCAAAGTGTAGTTCAAATTTTTATGCAAAATATATCAGCCACAGAAAAATATTTTTTCTTGAATAGACTATTATTTTATATATTAAATAGGCTCCTTGACATTCTATAACCTTCACTAGTTGTTTATTCATTGATTTTTCTATTTTTTTCACGGATTTGGTTTTAACATTACTAGCAGCAGTTTGTATTGTTTCCTTGACATTCTTTTTTTGGTTGAATATTGTTTGCCATCTCATGTACATCACTTTTAAGAATGGACAGGAAGTTTTCTTCTGGATTAATATCTGGAAACACTGACAGATATTTTATTAATATATTAAAATTTTTGAAACTTTTGGAGGCAAGGTGAGCAATAGTCATTGTAGCAGAATGTGAAGGAACATTATCTTGCATGAATATACTTTTTAGCATAAACCTTCTTGTACCAATGTAGTTGCATGAAACATTGAGAATAATAAAAATCCTGTTGCAGGTCAGATCATGATAAATGCATTCTTTAGTTTTAAGCTTCTTGGTGATAACATGAACCACCCAAGAATATGTCTTGTGGGCCAAATTTGACCTGAAAGAGGATTATTTTCTTATTCTCAATGTTTTATACAACTACACCAATTGGTCATTCATGAGTTTTTGTTACACTGGCCCCAGATTTCATTTTATTGCAATCCAAATACTGATAATTGATTTGTTGGCTACTTTAAAATTAGCTAATTTCTTTATTAGTGTTATTATTCTGTATGCCATGTCCTTTCAGAGCAACTTCCTATCCTTTGTAGTTCTAAGCAATATTTTCTTTTGAAATATCCTTCCTAATTACACAATCTCACCATGTAAGATACTTGCTGTTTTCCTCTGTCCTGTGAATGTCATATTCACCAAGCTCTCTTTTCTCATTATGTGTACCAGAAATTTCAACTGTCTTTTTCTGATTCTAAGTATATGCATCCTTTTTGTTTGCATTTTCTCTGAAACCTCCTCATTAAACACATATTCAGTCCATGGGATTCTTAACACAACATTTCAATTGTAGAACCACATTTCAATTGCCTCAAATCTCTTCATCTGTGAAGAGATTGTCCAGCATTCATTTCCATAAATCAGAATTGATATTACATAGCATTTCAGTCCACTTTTCTTTATTTCTAACAAATTTTTCCTGTTTCTTAGTATTTTGCTTAGTTTTCATTATTTCAATGTGCCTTTGAATTTCAGTTTTACATTTTCTGTCCTCTATTAAAAAACTTCCCAGATATTTAAATTTGTAGTTCACATCTTGGGTTGTTCCTCTTGTTGACAACCATACATTCTGTCTACTAACAATTGATGTTTAATCCTTTCTTCTTGCTTTCCTTCTGTAGAAGTTCCTGCAGTTTCTTTTCTGTGTCTGCTATCAACACTGTATTATCTGCATGCCTTATGCCATTAAGATTGTATCTACCAATAATAAATTCTGGTAGGACTTCCAGTTCTTTCAGGATAGGTTGACCCAGTCTGGTGAGAAGACACATCCTTGTCTTATGCCCCTTTCTATTTTGTGTATTTACTGAAAGTCATTTTCTGTCTGTATAAAGGTGATTTACTCCCAGTTCTAGATTATTTTAATATCTTTCTCAAATAAATCTAGCTTGCTTAGCAGCTCAAACAGTTCTTTGTGGTATACTTTATAAAAAGCTTTTGCATAATCTATAAAACATATCTATACAGCCTTTTGCATTTGTATTGTTCTTTCTAGTATAATTCTGAGAATATTTATTGCTTTCCTTGTTTCAGTGTCTTTAATGAAATGATATTGTTCTTCTTCTATTTCTGGTCTAATTTTTTCTGTGTGCTTTATTCATAAGAATTCATTATGTGACTCATTAGGCTGATTGTCCAAAGAAGCCTGCATTCATTTGCCCCTTGCTTCTTAGGTAGTGCTATGAAATTGGATTTATTTAATTTTCCAAGATTCACTTCATTCTTTTCATACTTTTTAGAGTCTTTGTGTATTTTTAAAATATTAAAAACATGTTTTGAATGAAATAAATTGTAGCTAAATCGAGTTCTTTTGATTTTTTTTTTTTGGCATTCTTAGTTAAGCACTCCATATTAAAAATTGCAAAATAACCTCATCCACATCACTTGAAAACTTCCGACAGCAACAACAACAAAAATGAGTAGTACATAGAAAAGAAAATAATAATATAATCAAGTTGTTGACTATTTATATTATCGATATAATTTATATCTATATCATTATTTTCTATAATATATATATTTTTTTATATTTATATATATATATATATATATATATATATATACATACATGTTTATATATATTTATTATATTTGTTTTATATATATATATATATATATATATATATATATGTACATACATACATGTTTATATATATTTATGTATATTTGTTTATATATATATATATTTATATATATATATATATACATGTTTATATATATTTATGTATATTTGTTTATATATATATACATATATACACACACACACATATATATATATTTATATTTATTTATATATATTTATTGTAATCTATTATGATAAAAATATTTTAATAATATTTTGCTCTACTTTGTATTGAGCACTTTTTAAAAATGTAAATGCTAAGAAGTGTGGATTCTAACTTCATCTGTTCTTTCTTTTTATATATATATATATATATATATATATATATATATATATATATACACTCCATTTATTTACCTAAGATTTTTATACAAATTCTTTTCTATAACAGAAAGAGTTATCTTATGCACATAATCAATAAAATTAAATTTTTTGTGGAAAGTATTTAAACTTAGTATCTGTTAATAAACGTAATTGATTTATCTTCCCCATGGAGAGTGGACTTATATCTCTGAAACTCAGATTCAGGTGATAAGTCTTTGAAGATTTTATTCATTTATTTAATATTGTACAGTTATATCCAGTTGATATCTGTTGATATTTCTGAAATGACGTATTGTAGCTATTTACACTATTCATAATATTGTCCTTACCTTTATTGCCATATTCACATAGCCCAGCAGATAAAAGTGTTGGTTGATTGATCCAAAAGTGATTTGTCTCAAAGAGTTGTGAGTTCAATCCCTGAGAACAAAAACTTGGAGAGTTGAGTTATCAAGGGGAATTAACTAAAAACTGATCTATTCCAAGGCATGGTGCGTGGAATAATAATAATAATCTACCTACTATTTTACTAAATAAAGGGATCAGTTTGAAATTTCAACAAATATCACCTGAAGAAGACATCGACAACAACATTGTGAATATGGTAATAAAAATGAAGACGATAGTCTGAACAAAATAGTGTAAATATATGCAGTTGTATTGAGTGCCTGTACATCCTTACCTAGTAGCTAATCTATTAACCATGTTGTGTCTAACAAATATCTAGTTTTATTCAACTGTAATTCACTTTTTAACTTTTTTGTTTCAGGTGTGTCATTTTGGTCGGACTTCCTTTCCCTAATATCAACTCTCCTGAATTGAAAGAGAAAATGGATTACTTGAATGCAAATTATGTAAGTCAACAAAGATTGTGCCTAATTTTTAATTGAAAACAGAAAAAAAACTTCAGCACACTTGTTGGCTCATAAACATTACTGCTCACAAATGGTAGCAGCAAAAGCTTATACTACATTCAGTTTTTCTGTTATGTTTATACAAATCTTTCATTAGGAATTTCCATATGCAACATTGCTTTATGTTTATAATCTGTGAAATGAGAAAACATTACAATAATTTTAAGATTAATCATTACCATTGACATTTGTTCAACAAACATTTATTAGCTTAGATAAGTTTATTTTCTTGTATGTCCAGTTATTAAAATATGATATTTTTTGAATTTAACCATTTTTCCATAACTATGATCCAAGAAGTAATAACTATAAAACAGTTTTTATACTCTTTGTCAACCTTGACAGAAACCAATTATCATTTGCCTTTCTCAAACTGGTATTAACAAACAAAATATTAGAATATAGGCAGTGTATTTTTCATATGGTGGTTTAAATACAAAGGGGTGCTGTAAAGTTCTTGGCCCAACTCAATTCCCAAACATCAAATATTTTTTTTGAAAGGCTTCTCGATTCAGCTGGGAACTTTTCAGAAACATTTTGTATATTTTTATTTGAAATGAAAAAATTAAAATTATGTAATAAGCCAATTCTTATAAAAATATGCTTTGTATTTTTTTTTTTTCAAGCATTTATTCATATTTGGAAAATTTAATACCCTCAGGGAATATTGCAGGTTGGAGGGGTAGAGGGAAATATTGAGTAAGTTACCTGAGATGTTTGTGTGAATAGATAGTAGAACAGGGACAAAGAAGGAGCTACAAGAGACAGAAAGTTGTGGAGAGCCATGATCGTCTACATTCTGAAGGATACAGCATATAAAAGATGACTGATATATTTGATAACCTAGTGGAGTTTGTGAATTTGGTGATATAGTGATTGTGAGTTCAATCCCTGGGTCAGGCAGTTTGTATTTGCACTGTGGAAGTGTATGAGCAATAACTGAGCAGTACTAAATAAAATATAAGAATTAAACAATATCCCTAGACATGAACAGTAGAATGAGAACAGTCTATCCCTGTAGATTAAATAAAAGGTTCAGTTCAGAATTCCTAGTTACCCAGATTGATATATAACTGAGGAAGGCTGGATGGCACAATAGCTGAAACATTGTGATAACAACAACAAAGATGAGGATGATAGTCTGAATGTAAATAGTGTAAATAATTCTATAGTGTTTTTTATATCGTTAACATCACTGTAGACATTAAATAATAGTTTGTTGCTATTAAATCCTATCATTAAAGAAACAAAATATATCAATCCAAGTATATCAAATAACTGCTCATCCTAGAAATTCATACTGAAACTATAGAATTACCATATAGACCTGTGTAATATACAACCTCACGTATTGTGCAACACCCAAATTTTCACTTATAAAAATGATTTTATCATATATCTCATGTATCATGTGAATTCCTTTTTTTGAGAGACCAAATTACAAGAGACTAACCTCTTTCCTTTATCTCTTTATCCCATCTTCTAGTTAAATAAGTTAAAAAAGTAAAAGAGAATTATAAAAGTATCATTACTAATGTTATACTCATTGTCTAAACGTGTACAGCCATAAACAATCTAACGAGAAACAGCTAGACATCTTATAAAAGTAAACAATGGAAAAGATGCATATTTGCTATGTTTGTATTTTATAATATGATACTAATATGTGAGTATTACATGCATTATTATTGGTTACAGTTAAGTAAAACATCAGTTCTGTTAAAATCATGTTTATTTTAAATACAATTGTACTTTTTGACTACAATAAATGGATATATAGTTTGGTCAACAGCGTAGCCAGTGCCAGCAGTACATATGCTAATTTTATATCTCATGTTTAATTTGACCCCCTTAAAATTAGCTTCCAAATTAGGTCTTCAAAAGTCTCATGATACATGAGTATATATCTATGGTGTATTGTAAACCAATGTAAGATAAAAATGAATGTATTTTTTATTATTTCTTTTCAGCCTCGTTCTTCTGATGGACGAATGCCAGGTCAGATACATTATGAAAATCTTTGTATGAAAGCTGTTAACCAGTCCATAGGTAAGTCACGATAATGAAGAGTGACTTTTATTAGTATTTGTCATATTTCCTTTTCAGATAAAGTATAATTAGATTTATAGTAAAATGGTTAACAGTGTAATAGAATTCCAAAGAAAGAATAAAAAGGAATATGAATAATAAAAAAAAATCAATCAAGAGAAATGCATTTACAAATTTCTTAATTCCTGTTCTTTTATTGGTTTACATCCTAATCATGCTGCAACACCAGTTCCTATACAATCACTGAAGTTAAGCAATGTCAAGCCTAATCAGTAACTAGATGAGTGACTGCTTGAGAATACCAGGTGCTGTAAGTACTTTTGACTGTTTCAGTCATTTGCAAGAACCATGTTCTGTTTGTGTGCCAGGCAAGATTCTGTTGGCTATATCTTCGTATTCTGAAAGCTGAAAGTTTAAAATAGTTCACGATGATGTTATGCGTAATGGTTAACGTGAGCAAGACTGCACAGAAAAAATGCATCAGTATTATTCATTTTTTCTTTTTTTATACACATATTAAATATTTTATACTTATTTCAAGATAACGTCTCCTGGTGTGAAAGACATTTAATGTGGGGTGTTTATTTTGTATAATAAAAAATAATTTGTATGTAAAAACCAAGCAGTATTCAAAATAATCTGTCTGTCCTGCAGACTAGAAATAAGATGTATGCCAAATGCCACACTGCCATTTCATATTTTGCATTTAACATTTTTTTAAATTTAAATTTTGTGTTTCATTTTCCTGTATGTAAAAAGTATGGCATCATTAATTGTTTTTCACATTTTAAATTAATATATCATTCTTTTTAAAATAAATTTAATTGGAATGTGCAAATATTGAAAAGCATTTAAAAAAAAAAGGCAATGTTTAACCTTTGTGTCTTCCAAAAAAAATCTATGTCAAAAGAACAGTTATTCCCTTGACACCACTATTACTGAATGCACTTTGGAGTCCCTTGGCAATGTTTATTTTTTTAAAAAGTGATGATTAAAATTTTAATAAAACCAAAACACATGAAAGTGGATTTATACATTTTCTTTATTCTTGAGAATTGAAAACAGAGATATTAAACACTATTTGTTTATTAGATTGCTTATTTACAAGAAGAATTTTATATTTACAAGATTATAAAAATATATAAAACAACTATAATGAAATATTTATCATTTTATAAAGAAATAAATATGAAAAACAACTTTTTTTATTTATAAATTTATAAAAATGTCTGTGAACAAGAAAATTTAAATAAACACATAATGACAAGTAGCTGCAATTATAAATTTTGAGAAAAATGCATTTTCCAGACATTTCTTTCATTTGCTCTTTCCACAAAATTTTGCTAAAATAGATTTCATAATTATTTATAATGGTAAATAATAAATATTACATTTAAGTTGGTTTACATATTTTGATAATTTTGTAAGTTTTTAGAAATTTTTGAATAAAATATTTCTTTTCAAATTTATTTTGTTATAAATGGTAAATAATATTCTTTCTAAAATAGTAAATGTTAAATGTCATATTACACTTTGTTCACATATTTTTATAATGTTGAAAATAAACATTGCTGAGGGAGTCAAAAGTATATACACTAATGGTAGTTTCAACAGAATAACTGTCCTTTTGACACTATGTTTTTTTCCAGGCATGAAGGTTAACCATTGCCACTTTTTCTTTATCTGTTAATTACCATGACATCTTGGAAAAGGGAATTTTCTTCCCTGAAGTCTAAATGCTATGTTTGTTCATAGGTGAATAAAGAAAATGTATAAATCCACTTTCATATTTCGAGTTTTATTTAAATTCTAATCATTGCTTTTTAAAACCATAAACATTGCTGCAGGACTCAAAAGTGTATACAATAATAGCAGGGAATAGCAATGTGTCAAAATCATGGGTAAATATGTAAATTTGTACAAAAAATAAGCTTTGTAGTAAAAATCTATCAAAAAAATGAAAATATTTTTAATGAACCCAAACAACTGAGATGCTTCAATTTTTATTTTATCATCTTTTTATTTTGTTTACTAAGAATTTTTTTCTTTTTCTCTTTTCAAAGCAAAAACAACCATTAAGAATCAGATTTTACCTTTTTGATTATTACGTCCAAATTTAATATTCATTGCCCTAGATTTTGTTGAAATACATAAAAATTCTTTATTGACACAAAAAAAAAATATAATTTTAAACTGTTTAAAAAATAAAAGCATATTTATTAAAGGAAAGCCATTACACTGAAACCATTTTGTTTCTTATTACAGGTCGAGCAATTCGTCATCAAAAAGATTATGCCATAGTTTTACTCTTGGACAGGCGTTATCAGAAACCAAGTGTGGCTGCAAAACTCCCAAACTGGATCCGGACACTGCTGAAAAATTGCAAATTTGGACAAGCAGTTGGTGCCATTTCAAAGGCAAGAGAATCTATCTGTCTAATCTTAGGTGTCTAATACATACTTACGAGGTGGTTCAAGAAATCCCCCCCACCACCAAAAAATAAATGTTCCTTCCCCTACTATCTATCAGTCATATCATGAATCTGAATAAAGTATAATGTTATGAATCCTAGAGTTGTCAATTAGTTGTTAAGACTCAAATCATGTCACAAAAAGCAACAATATAATGAAGAAAATTATTTAGAAAAATGAATAATGAAAATATTTTATCTCAATTGAAACAACCTAAGACTGCTTTATGTTAACCCAAATATTCACATTCAACATGTCCAAGATTGATTTGTTTTATTTAGACAAAATAAAAAAATCTGAAGAAAGAAATGCTTTTACTTTTTCAATGTTTTTAGATCAAAACTCCCTCATCTGTTTTCCTTTAAAAGGTTCATACTTTAATTAATCCAAATCTCTATATGAGGTTTGATCAAAAAAGTAATGAGACTGGTGCTATAAAATGAAAACTACAATACATATCAATTCAGCATTTAATCTCCTTCGAAAGTAGTCCCCTTCTAAATTTACACACTTTATACAGCCTTGTTTCCATTGATGGAAGCATTCCTGGAACTCTTTTTTTGGGGGGATAGCGAGCAGCAGCATCATTGAATTCTTTTGGGTTTCCTTGATGTCTTGAAATCTTGTTCCTTTCATGTGGGAGTTGATTTTTGAAGCGTTAAAATTCACAAGGGCAATATCTGTGGAATATGGTGGTTGTCAGACCTGGGGAATGTTGTGTTTGGCCAAAAACTGCTGCACAAGCTATAGTCACTGATGGAGCCTCTGCAGTGTGATGAGATGACCACACTTTCCTTCCAAGCATGACTATAAACAATGGAAGTAAGCAAGAATGTTATAACTTAGTGTGTATGTCTGACAGAGTTCAGAGTCAATCTGTGCCAAGCAGCTTCAGGATGCTTACTTTAGCTCTGTTACCAGAGCTGGCTCAAGGTAATAGCAACTTGGCAATCACATGGCGCAGAGGGTGTGAGTGGTTGTCATCAAGGCCCAGGGTGCCATCATGCTATAATTAAAGCTTATTAAAACATACTTAAATTCTTTGGATATTTTGTCAATAGATAATGATCTTGCAAAGAATATAGGTGTAGAAAGTGCCATGAAAAGATTTGCAGATCGAAAGGCCTAGAAAAGAAATATTTTAGTTTGGAAAATGAATGTTTTCTTTAGCTTGTATTAACCTCTCCCCCCCCCTAATTATTTTGGCAAAAACGTTTCATTTTCAGGCAGATTTTTGTTTGTTTTTGTTTTTAATATACTAAGAAACTGATGCATATTGAAGTACCTGAGCAGTGGCTAACACCTCTACCAGATGTATGAGTTGACAGTTGGACTTATTTCAAGCTCAGAAGTGCATAAGAAGAATCAAGATTAACATATAATTAATGTCTGTAGCTGGTTTTTTAATGTTATGCTTTAGACGTGTTTACTCGTCTATGCCTGAAAAAAAAACTTTCGGTAACAACGTATATACACGTCTACGCCAGGGAAGAGATTATAATATATAAAAGAGTGTAATAAACTCATTATTCTACATTTTTAGTTTTTCTCCTTGTGAATGTTTTTTTTTTAAATTATACTTGTAAGTGTGCCATGTGGGTTTGTGTGTGATGTGGATTTGTTCACATATGCTCTTTGTATTACATATTTTAGACAACCAATCAAATAAATTTTATAATCTCTTTTTTTATTCTTTGTTCTATTCCAGTTCTTTGCCAGCAAAAATTAGAATATGGAGAAAGCAAAAGAAAACTAACTGAAGATTGAAGAAACATATTGGCCAGTGTTTTATTTATATCATCTGAAGAAAACCACTTTCTTCCTTCATCTTCACACTATGGCAAATATTTAAATCTAGAATATACTGTTAGAAGTGTGATTGCAGTTTGTTGTTTTATTGCCAGTCAAAATCATATTCATTCATAATTATTCATTTCTTACACAGTAAATAAAGAAACCAATTTGTTTTCTGTTTTGAACTTAGTAACTGTCACGTAAATGTTGAGAAATTTTAATTTAATATCGATAGTATTATGCTTGTTTATGTAAAATTCATAACACGATTGACCTTATCATTAATATAAAATATTTGGCTTATTTGTGAGATGTCAAATTACAAAATGCATTACAACAGAAAATACTGAAGTGTTTATTGATAAAGATTGTGACCTAAGCTCTTTTCTATGACATAGAGAGATATTTTCATAATGTAAAGACATTTTCATACTGTAAAATGAAATTTAACTGAAAAATAATCTTCATTTCAGACATTTTATTGCATTCATAAAGATTTCCCACAGTGAAAGTTTTCTCTTTTGTAAAATGAAGCTTCTGTTTGACTTGATTTCCTAATTTTATAAACAAAATAATTCTGAAATATGAAACTAAATCTGTTTTTACCTTTAGCACTCTGTAGGTGATTATTTTTACCAAGTAAAATGTTAGTCCTGTCAATGTTAAATTTGAATTTCTTGTTTGTTTTGTCATATCCTTCTAGGGCAACATCTAAAACAATTTTGACTGAAATTGAGAGACAGGCTACTGCCATTTCAAATATAATATATAAAACACTATATTTTGAAGGGATTTCATATATAATAAAAGGGGAAGTAATATTTATAAATGATGCAGAGTTCTAAATGTAAAGATAGAAGAATCTTGGTATTTATTATGTTTCAAACCTCAAGTAAAACTATATTTGGTGCCTTTATATTTATATGTCTGTATATCAATGTCTGTAGCCTCATAATAAAAGCAAGTATTTACTTATCAAGATAATTTCCTTCTTTGCAATTAATTCAATGGTGAATATTAATAAAATTGATATAAACAATATACAGGGAAAATTTCAGATCAAAATGCAGCTACATGTTAAGCTACAAATTTATTGATCCAGCTCTATCTATAAAATATACTGCTTTCAAATATGAAAGTCACACATGCATGATTGGCTGATCTTAGTGTAATATACTTTAAGTAAATTATGATTAATTTTTTTTTCATGTTCTGTCTCAGAAAGACATGCTAAAAATATCACTGATCCAAATTATCCATTGCCTTAAGTGGTTTATATAAATGTAGCTAGAAAATTGATAATGAAGCTTGATCATATGACATTACTTTTGACTGCGTCATTTGGATGTGGTCGTAAAGAAGAGACAATGGCTGGCTTAGGATTTTCATAGTCCCCAAAAGAGCTGATAGTTTATTTTTTCAAAGCTGAAGGGAAAGAGAATAAAACTTATTAATAATGACATGAAATATTTATACTTCTCTATTTATCTCATAACTATCATCTGATTTGAAAAAGAATGACATTTTTTATGAATGAAAACTGATTGAAAATAAAATCTTTTTAATATTTTTTTTTTTTTTGTGTTTTTATTTTTTCTAATCAACCTAATTCTGGATGATAAAACTAAGGGATACATAGTTTTGGGGATTTTAAAATAACTTTGATATCAAATGATGATAAAAATAATCATCTATTTGCCTGGATTCACTTCTTAGATTAAAGAAGACAAATTGGAGATTTGAGCATCCAAATTGGAAGATAAGCAGTGATGTAATTAGATTTGATCTTTCCTGAGTTTTGGGAAGAGAAAATTCTAATCCTTTCAAAAAATTATAATCTTTTAATCTTGTTTCCTTAATTTTATCTTATGATATTAAGTCAGGACAAAAGTCCATAGCATTTTTTTCAAAGCCAATATTTATATATTTGGATATAGATTTATTCAAGCACATAAGTGTCATTTTGTTTCGTTATTTTTTTGGTATCTTTGATGCAGTTTTATGATTCAATCCTCCCAGAACATGCCGCCTGGCATCTTTCTGGGTGATGAACCGAGCTAAGTTGTTTTTACAGAGAATTGAAGTTCTTCCCATTAGAGAAATTTGTAGGGATCAAAATGAGTGGTAATCTGAAGATGAGTACAGTGTAGCAATTTCTGCTCAGTCTGAAAAGAGACAAGGTCTGGTGTTGTTCTGATGGAAAATGACACACTTCTGATTAGCCAATTCCAGACACCTTCCAGCAATACTTGTCTGAAATTTTGTAAAAGAATCTCATAATTTACAATGTTATTCTGTTCCCATCAGATACACTGCATCACGTTTGGATGCAGACCAACATTTGGAATGGTTAACAGTAACTCATTTAATTTTCCACAGGACAATTTTTTTCATATTTTTTGTAATCAATCAATTTTTCATTACCTTTGATTGTTCTTTTCATAAATGAGCTGTGACAGCATTTGAGCAGAGAACTGTGGATGGAAATGTGACCATTAAATTTTGGTTCTTGTTAAATTGTGAGGCACCCAAACATTTTAGCAATTCAAATATCCAAGTGTTTTCAAATGCTTCATAATATTCATTAGATATGTCGAGTATCTTAGCAGTGTATCATGTTTCAGATGACCTAGATTATTTTTTAATCAGCATTATGATTTGGTTATCAGTAATGACTGTCAGAATGTTCTCAATCTTCCAGATTAAAATTTACACTTCTGATTCCAGCAAAAAATTTATGGATAGCACTCTCAGCTAGGATATCATCTCTATAAATGCTACATATTATTTTTGCTGTTTGTACAGCAATTCATTTCTTTTCTGGAAATAAGAGAAAATCAATTGATGAAATTGCATTTCATTTTCCTCCATTTTCACTTTTAAAAGTAAAAACATTTAAAATTCACAATCCAAACACTAATTTTATAGAAAGATGTAGTGAAATATCCCCTTTCAGAATATGAACATAATCCTATCGAAAAGTATTGGAACTGTTGCTGTGGTAAGACAGCTAATCTATGCAGACTGAAGCCACTTGGCACAGATTGACCTTGAACTCTGATGTGCATATACACTAAGTTATAACATTCTCACTCACTTATGCAATTTATAGCAGTGCTTTGAAGGAAAGTGTGTAGAGTGTGGTCATTGCTCCACACCACAGGTTCCATCAGTGACTATGGCTTGTGCAGCAGTTTTTGGCCAAACACAACATTCCTCAAGTCTGATAACTACACACTCTGCAGATATTGCCCCTTGTGATTTTTAACACTTCAAAAATCAACCCCCACTTGAAAGCAACAAGATTTCAAGATATTGAGGAAATCCAAGAGAATATGATGAGGCAGCTGCTCACTATCCCAAAAAAGTAATTCACGGAATGCTTCCATCAATGGAAATGATGCTAAATAAAGTGTCTGGCTTTAGAAGGGGACTATTTTGAAGGAGATTAAATGCTGAATTGATATATGCTGTTGTTTTCATTTTATAGCACCAGTACTGATAGTTTTTGATCAGACTTTGTATATATATATATATATATATATATATATATATGCATGTCAGTTATGTGCCATGCGTGATACACACTTAGGTGATATCTTTTGATACATGACTGACGAGGCAGATTTTTTTCTGATTTCTTTCTGTGGTAGACAATTTGCCATCCAAGGCTATAGAACCCGGTCTGTCCTGCTATTTACCCATAGCTGTGGGGAGAAGAAGAGGATTCATAACTTTACCAAGGGTATTAGCACGTAAGTGAATGTAATGGATTCGGCAGGAATTCAAAATCAGCTCTCCGATTCCTCAATATGAGTTGCTATCCATTACTCCACAGTGAAATAAATAAACAATTTTAATGACATGTGAAAGAAAACCACTTGTTTAAACACCATCTATTGAAAAACACTACAAACTTTTGTTCCAATTTAATAGTTTCCATCTTTTTTTTCAGTATATTTAAGAAAAAAAGTAGAGTTTAATGGATATTAGAAAGTGGAATCATTATATCAGAATGGACTTCCTGCCCACTTTGTTGCATCCACTTTTGCACAAATGCTCTTGGGAAAGGAATGAATCTGTTTCTCTTCTCTCCCTCCTCCCACCAGCTAAGAGATGAATAGCAGGTTAGAGTGGGATCTCTAACCTTGGATGGCAATTGGTCTAGCTGAAGGAAAACACTGAATTTCAAACTGTAGAGAAAGCAATGGGAATCCATTCTATCTTTTCCAATAAGCCATAGCAGTTTACCGATAATAAAGAAAAGGAACCTGTAGTGATCTGTACTGGTTCCCATATGATCACCAATATTAAGTATTATTGAACTTCGTCAGAACCTAGATTGGTGACAGCTTGAATGTGCAGGTGGTGTAATGGGTAATGGCTCGGAATTGTTAATTGGAGAACTGAGTTCCAATTCCATTTGGGTTTGTTACATTCACTTATGTGCATATACTCTTGGGAACGGTATGAACCCACCTCTTCTTCTCCCAGCTCCAAGCTATGTATTAATTAGTAAGACTTGTATCACTAAATTATTATGAGAAAGAATTCTTACAATCTAAAAATATTCTCTAACTTATAGAGGGTTGATAAGCTGTAAAAAAAACAATAAATTAATCATGTTTATGATTGCCCGTGTCCTGAAGAGTTATTTTATTTTTAAAAAAAATATTTTAAAAGATTTAGATTTTTCGTATTTAATTTCTTCATCATTGCTTATTACGTTAAATCTTTTATTACGATTCTAACAATAAATTGACACAATTTAAAAGAAAAAAAAAAGTAACATTAAGGGAGGTAACTTTTCATTCTTAATTAAAAATTGCCTCCCTTAATAATTCAGCCACTTGAAATATTTAAATTCATTAAAGACATTACGAATGAGTAATGCCTAAAAACCAAACTTATTTGAAGTGGATGCTTCTTGTGCAT